GTGACACTAGTTCATGAAGACTGTGGCTATCGACCTGAGCCATTTCAGGAATGGCAGAACATTTGACTAGTGTTCTCGAGATAATAAGTATAACTAGCTGGAAACTTTTTGTGACAGCTGAAAATCGGCCACACTTGCATAGATTTATTTACTCTTTGACGTCTTCCAAAGTTTGAACACTTTCATCAGTCCTGCTATACATTTTAGTTCACTTTGATATCATTCTTTTTCTACATGGTTGTTCTTTGCATGCTACCATTAGTTGTAACAACTTGAACCGATGTACAATTGTACAATAGTCTACGTTGATTTTAGCTGTCTTTTTCACACGAAGATAATGACTGAAAATGCATACTGTGCACTCTTTTCGCCTACTTCTACACTCACTTAAGTAAACGGAAAATAAGACATACCTTTTCAAGCGATTTTGATGAACTGACAGTCAGTAGGATGCTGACTAAGCATGCAGAAGAGTTGACTGGAAGTCATTCTGTATAATTCGGTTCAATATTCCACAGATTTAGCTACTAGTTGTTCGGTCCGTATGGATTTGCAAAATACGACTGTCAATCACTCCAATAGCTGTGATATTGACTTGACTTTTGTATAATTTAGTTGATCTGGAACAGATATTAGGTCTTAGTAAGGAATTTATGTTGAATACGAATGTATGAATACTTACAGTTCATTTATGTTTATAAATCCCTATGATGAGTATTAAAGATAATAGAGTATATGTTGGTGTTAATTTCAATTAAATGGTTTATTTTATCGTCTTATTCACATACTTACACTTTGGTAGACTTGCCATTGTGACTTGATGTAATACATCGACCTACCAGACTCCTTTCACCACTTGGTCAAGATATTGGACGTTGGTCCAGTAGGTCTATTTTGTGTGAAGGTCAACTATACCACCAGGTTGCCAAGACCTCGATAGGTATATTAGGGTGGTTGAAGTCGTGACGCATTGTTTGAAAGTGGGTTATCAAGTGAAATGAGCTTGCTACAAAAAGCCAGTGCGGTTTATGCATTTCAAAAGTATTATCATTTTACTTTATAAATAATTCTTGTCGTGTAGATTGGTTGAATCCGTGGATCTTGTTGAGTGTTCATCCAGTGATACTTCTAATCATGAATAGACCTTCTTATGACTTGAAATAAGAAATCAGTACATCTTTTTTTTTTAAAAAAAAAGAGCAGTTAATTCACAGGGAATATGATCCAAGTTGAAGTGGATTTAAAGCTGCAACGGGACTCGAACAATCAACTTAAAGATTATCAACTTCATAATCTACTGACTGATTGGGCTATAAACTCCAATAAACAGGTAATCATGTCTAAGTTTCACTCTAATCACTAAGCCTTATACTCAGCCGTCAATTTTATCGTGAACAAGAAGTAACAGACTGTTGATTCATATTATGAGTCGAATGAAATCCTTGATGGTGACGATTGACATGGATTTAAAACCTGATGTACAGTTGGATTTTGTACCTCATTTATTCAAGTATAGAATTGATCATTTGAAGGTAATTGACTAACGTTATCCATCCTAATTCACGTATAGCTCTACCTCAATAAAAACTTTGGTTGGTTACAATGGCAAACAAGGTTGTATGATCTAAAGTTGTCTAAGAGTCTATAAATACCTTTACTGTGACAGTGAGTGATTTTGTTCCCACTGAAACTTTAACCCAGTATTCATCGTTCAGAACGCCAAAGCATTATTCACAGGGAGTTCCAAATAGGACGAGAAGCGAGTCCTGGGTTTCGCTGCTAGTCACCAAAACGGATAACTTTATTTTGTTACAAGGAGGAATAAAGGCGTAAATGAAGTAACTTGAAGTGACAGGCTTCTGTGCCGGGTTCTATATTCATATATCTGTCTATCTGTCTTATAAAAGTTGGTCGGTATTCTTCATATGTTCAAGTTTTATTGTCATTGATTGGTTAGCAACGTTAAACTTGCTTGTCTTCCTTGAGCCTACAAATCCCTGGAGAATAACTTGCAAATTTTTTTCCTCAAACAGTAGGTCAGTTGATGCAGAGTTTCAATTAGGAAAGGAATTATTGATGCAGGAAATAAATTGTGAATCTACATTTCACGCCTGAGCTTATACAGTTAGAGTCGAAGTAGTCATCGTTGAGGAGCTTCGTTGTGTAAGTTAATATTTAAGAGTTTAGGCTTTTTTTAGCAGTGACTGTTAAAATTCTGAGAGTATGCATTCATTGGGTGGATTTGTTCTTCGGTCTAGTGAAGAGTGTTGATCTACTCATAATAAGTATTTGCATGCTGAATTCGGGGCCGATATTTTGGGGTTCGTCTACAGCTCCAACTTCGAAATCTTTAAAACATTCCCCAAAAACTCCAACGTCCCTCAAAATAGTTTAATGTATTTTTTTCCTTCAGTTCTCATTCACTGTATTCTCAGATACGATAACTAAGATTTTTCTTAGCCTATAAAGAACACTACCTCGTTCACAGTTGTCCTAATCGTCTCCTAAGGATGGCATACAAGTCTTGCCCAATGATCTTTATGTGTAATTAGGTCATTTCAGGAATCACTCTTCATCACAATTCACTACGACTCGGGTAACAACCTATAATGTATGCGTAGAAATGGTGATCCATGTATATGCTTTCGGAAAGTTTTAGATGACAGTAAAGTAATGAGTAATACTACATACCTTAGTGTTACTATAGTGGGTGCTACTGATAAGAATGGATATAAGTAGTATATGTTGAGACGTTGGCAGAAATCATAGGGAATTACCGGTGATGAGTAAATATTCCACCCAGAGAAACACAAGAGCAAGTCGAGATAGAAGCAGAAGAGGAAATGAAACACATTATGCAAATGACTATTTTAATGCAAGGTGAATAATATTTCATCAACACTGTACAAGATGTTATAAGAAACATTCTGTCCTGCCCCTCAGTCTTCGTCGTTTCTTACAACACCATAACTGGTCATCGTTGTTAACAAGCTTTATTTCCTTGTATGTGAGAAATAGTCAACTTTCAATATACTGAAGTGCTCCTGAAACGGAAGCTATACTATGACTTTTTTACAAATAAGAATGAGCAACCACTGTTTTCCAAGTCGCCATATTATGTCGTTGTGTTGTGTTGTCTGAGCTGAGTGGTTTATTCCCGAAGCTTTTCTAGGTAACATTATTAGCACTAACTTTGATTTGAAGTGAGCTATCAGTATCTCTCCCTGAGTGATTCAAGGTCTGTGATCGGCTGTTTTCTCTGATTTCTGTGACATTGTTGGCCTTTCCTCTACCTGACCTCTGACCTTTTTATTGTTTATCACTTTTCTCCGCCATTTTACTACTTACTATTTGTTTTAAACTGCTTTTTGTAAACGAATTCTGAAAAATAATCCAGCGATCAGTGGTTACTTGAGTGTTAGTATCAGGGTCTTTAGGGTTTCAAGTAAGTGACACAGGTTCAAGTCTCTTCACGAACGTAACGTTTCTTAAGCTTGCATATATGTCTTTTTGATGAACCCCAGTAGGTATGAAATCCAGGCTCAAACATGCACACACGAGACAGGGTGTTCAATATCACTAAATCTACACTGCATGCTGTTGTTCGTCGATTGGATTCGATTGTTTTTCTACTTGTTCTAGACGCAAACTCAGTCCTTGTATCAGATAAAGCGTTTAAATTCCCAGTACTTCGGGATTTATAAACTGCCCGTACGTTTTTCTTTCTCTAAAAAGAAGTAGAAAGGTGGAAGTTTTGTGAAATTGTGCTGTTATAGATTCCTAAATGCGGTTAGTTGATTAGCTGAACCACTATTGTTAAGTATCTAAATTAGAAGACGGCGGTTGACTGGAGCCATCCCAAAGTTTCATCACAGTTAATGGCGAAGTGAATATCATTCTCCTCAGTTGTTCACACCTTTTCCCATTTGACGGTGTATACCTCTGCGGTGGAACTCACTTTGATGTCTCAATAAGAAATTGCTGTTCTCTTTCGATTTTATCATTTTCGGTTTTTTCCTGAAGTTAATCTCAAAAAGCTTCTTCCTAAGGAGATAATTTTTCTATAATGACGATGGCTATCATTTTGACTATCTGAGATAACAGATACGGTTTGGAGGACTAGTATTTCTACTGGGTAGTGATTGAAGGTGAAGTGGAAATTTGGGCTGGGACCGGGTTCGAACCAGCGACTACCAAATTCCCGGCCCGATACTCAACCAACTGACCTATGGGGTCCGACTGCTGACCAAATTTTTACTTCAATTCAATCACAAACGGAGTTTTGACCGACTACCATGTGAATTTTTGACGCGTTACTACCGCTTGACCGTACTGACTCTGGTTACCCTGTCAGAACTCATTCCGATTCACGTCTAACTGGATTAGAAACAGGGAGAGCACCATACTGATTATCATTTTGACTATCTGAGATAGCCGTGGTGGTCGCTGGTTTGAATCCGACCGTGGTTCGAATTTCCATTCCACCTTCAATCATCATCCAGTATAAATGACAATGATGTCTCTTTATTACATCAGTTGATGATGCAGTGAGAAAAATGAACACCTCAAACACACACGCACAGCAATTTGAGGATTCGTTTCCGTATGTGATAATATCACATAACGTTACACCTCCATGGAGTCTCACTATACGAGTGGGATGACATCGTGAACTGCTTTAATTCAGCAACTTTGTAGAGTGGACAGAAGTTAAAAATATCGACTATTAGATTCTAACCCAATGCCTCAACGGTAACGTGGTGGCCACGGAACCTGAAGGTCCTGAGTTCGGTCCCTGGAGGGTAGGATCATGGGTGCACACTGCTGAGAAGTCCCGTACTACGACGAAACAGCTATCCAGTGTTCCCAGGTTTCCAATTTTCCCCCAACTGATGTTGGTCCATAGTGAATACCAACTTGAAAAATATCTATTAGTTTCCTCAAGTGTATTTATAAGGTTTCCAACATTTTCCTGTTTGACGTTTTCTCCTTATCCTTAGATACCAGTTCTTTTTACAAGTACGTAAAGATATTCTAGATGGTCGTCTTCCGGTTTCACGATCAATTTCAGTTCAACTAGCTGGATTAGCTCTCCAATGTAAGTTTATATAAATAAATAAATTGACTTTTTGGGTACTATAAGAAACAGTTTCTTTTTACATAGACAATATTTCAATATCTGGTAGAAGAGTTCTTATGATATTCACTTTGAAAAGTAGCCATACAGACGTATATACTTAATAACCTTGGATTACTAGAAAAGAACAGTCCTTTGTTGTTGTTGCTGGTTTCTTTCTACGATATTTCATCATGAGAAGAGAATCACATCTGATCTTACTTAACTAACTTGACATAAATTTGCTAAAATCAAAACGTAATCTGATCGATTTAAAAGAAAAAAGAATATCAATTCACGTGAATAGTGATTTTACATTTATTGATTTCCTGAGAATATCTATCTGTGTACATAATTCAACTAATGACATAAGTGTATGTCTGTTATTTTTCTTGAGAAATTTGAACCACCCATTTGTGGTTTTGATATGCTTTTTTCAAAAACTAAAATGTGAATTGGATCTATGAAAGACGACAAGGGTGGTGATACGTTTATCATTTAAGTACACGACATTTTTGATGAATACACCATACTCTCGCCGAATATCAGTTTTACAGTCTATCATTATGCCAATAGACTTCATTTTACGTAATACTTTCCGTATGCACCTAATAAAAGAATTCATATAACTAGAATAGTTGTGTGTGTGTGTGTGTGTGAGAGAGAGAGAGAGAGAGAGAGCACACGATAACCGTTGCAGTCAGTAAATTGATATGGACAATAACAGTGATAAGCGCAACCATCATTAAGGGCATCGATTGTACATGTGAAATAGTTCCTGTTTTAGTTTCCTCATTATGACTCAACTTTTATTTGCTAACAGCAAGTTGTATTTTGTGAAATTTTTCTACAAGTTTAGGCTATTTTTAGACACCAACGGTGCACTGTGGCTCCGATCTGTGTATGTACAAGTCCCTTTGGAAAATAATTCAGTGAGTAAATGTATGTTGACTTTTATGAAGGCAATACGTTTACCAGTCAGATGAATTATAATTATTCATGATCTGTAAGGTTTGTCTATCGAAACTAAGAGTAGATGACGATTAGTTGTCTTCATCTAAACGTTGTCTGTGGAATGACCTTGAAAATTGCGTCATTAATTGCCAACTTGATTAAGTTAGTAATAAGATGTGTTTGTTGAAAAATGTATGAAATTTAAAGTCAGCTGTTTTGCACTGTTGGTAAGTGGTTATGCTAACTTAAGTTACAAGAAACCTGCTGATTCACCGCTGACGTTTAGCCAGTCAGTTTTCAGGAAGTTCTGATTGGCCTTCTTGTTTTCTGACTATTGAACAGACAGTCTAATTGGGCTAAGCAGATAAAAATTTAATGATTTTGGTAATTATCAAAAATCATAGCGGACATTCGCCACTGGGTTAAACCTAATTTTCCGTTTGTCACATCATCTTATCATGGATATCTTCATAGCATTGATCGGGTTCGTTAGAATCACCGTGTGAGCAATGTTAAGGTCAGTCAGGGGAAGAAAACTAAGCAAGGAAGGCAAGTCGATTCATGAGGTTGTGAAGCTTAGTCGACTGAGGTTGCTTAGACATTTATCGCGCATCCAAAGCCATCGCCTACCTCGATATGGCATGCTAGTTGGGGAAGTTAGATTAGGTTGGAAAAGGGTTGAGGATAGCCAGGCCAAGACTTGAAACCAGTCGATGAAGTCTCTGACTTTTGGTCTGAGTTGTGTAGGGGAGATGTAGACTGTTGGGTTGGGGTCCCCGAGCCGATAGGAATCAATGATTAAGCACTCCTGGTGATATGGCTGAAAGTCAGTCACAACGGTATAGATGGATTCACTAAACATCTTATAAAGCCTGGAAATTCGCACTAACCATTATCTTTGGTTTGTTCATTGTCTCACAAAGCTTTGTCCGCTTTGATATCGCTCTTTTTCTATCCACCTGATCACCGCATACTTCTGCGAAGTGTGGCAATTTGAGTCTATGTGCTAGGTTCTACGTTGATATGTCAGTCAGTCGTCTGCCTTACCAAATTAGATCTAAAATACATGGATGTAAATACACAGTTGCTTATTATTACTGCGTTTAGTGAAATGAGAAATATTGGTTAGGTTGGTGTTTAAGTGAGGTGGAGAAGATTATCGATTCTTATTTAGTCACCTCTCATCGCAGTTACACTGCACAGCGGTAGCTAAGTGGTAGTGTCTCTGGCTGCGGCACTGAATGGTGTGGGTTTAAATTTCGCAGGGACATCATTTCCTACATTAATGATGGATAATGGTTAGAATTCGGGAAGGACGTTTCGTCTTATTTGGGACTCGTCGACCGGATGTACCTGTCTCCCAGTGAATGATGTTGTTATCACTGAAACTCGAACCCAAGGCCAGTCGCTTCGAATGCCAGAGTTTTGCTCACCGGGTCGCTGACTCACGTTAGTCATTCCTTGTTTAATGGGTAAAGTATATTTTTGATGTTATAGCTTGTAAGATTCCGTCGTTGATTTCATTGAATTGATCGGCGACCGTTATGATTAGGGCTCCTACTCGGATGCCTCGATATTTCCACTGTCTTTTGTTTTGATATTAGTGATAAATAATGGCTAGCAGTAGAATCCAGAACGCTTGTTTTGTCCTACTTTGAACTGTTCAGCTGCTCAGCTCCCTGGAGGTTCCAGATACACCTTGTTAGTAAGTGCCAACAAGCCAATACAAACTAATGCAATCTAAACTCATAGACTACAGTACTAACACACAGAAATGAAGAGTTAACGTAAATAACGAGTTTTGAATTAAGTGGTATGGCGTAACTAAAGTGTGAACGCGCATGTATTTCATTGGAAAAGATTCTGGTCGGTAGCGGTTAGAATCTGTAACCAGTGGTTTCGTTTGTCTCATCGAACCAAATCAGGAAGCCTACAAGTTCAGAGCAGTGTAGTCACTGACTTCATGTACTGATATCATGTCTGGATCTGGTCACTCTCAGGTGTTTCCTGACATAGTGTATCGCTTCAAAAGTAAGAGAACGAAACGTAAGTCTTGGATTCTGCTGATAGCCGAAACCAAGGCAATAGCATCAAGATGTTATGTCTGATTTAGTTTTTCCTTCGGGGAATAATCTGTTGTAACTCCTAATGTTTTACATGTGACGAGAGATTTTTGTGATAATATCTAGTTCACGATGCACTAAATTGAGTGATTGAACTCCGTGCACGATTTCACGGTAAAATACAAGTAGAACTGAGATCCTGTCAAAGAATGATCAACAACTTGAACTCCTTGGTATGGCTACTGGCAGCAACTCTTTCAGTGAACTTTTTCAAGGAGGAGCGGGATGTTCACGGTAATATCTACTGGAAGGATTAAGATAGGATACCTGGCGTACTTTATCTAACATTGACGATGGTGAAGAGTCGATACGATCGAAGGAGAACTATCCCCGAAAATCGAATTTTTTGGACCTATCATTAGCCAACTAAATATGTCAGTGTATTTAGTGATAATCTAGCGCTAAACTTAAATAATATGCAGACAAAACGGTCACTTGTGTACACCTAATTCAACTTTTCTTTGAAGGATATTCATCAAGTGGTAACCTAATATGAGTAAACTGATCTCATCACTTTTTGTGTAAAATCCAGTCATCAAAATGAACTTGAAATCTGGAAGAGGGGGTGGGGGTGATTCTTAGTGAACAGCGATTGCTTTCTGTTCGTAGTATTCTCATCTCTCTACTTTCATCTACAACAGTAAGTAGAGACTTTTAGCGTTGTATAATGAACAAAATGTTAATTTTATCCTCATCAATCTCTATTTAAGGTCAATAACAGATATGTTCTTCAACCAGTATAATGACCGAAAATGGTTCATTTAAAGTGGGTTAAATCAATATTTAACCAGTTGAAATCAATAGTCTGATCATAGTGACAAGCATAAGAGTGAAGCATGAGGAACTGAAGAATACTAAGGCTAAAAATAGTTCAGGCCAATCCCGAAAACTAAGTTCCTCTTTTTACTAAACATGGGATTGTTTGTTATGGTGTAAAACACGTAAAAAAGTATGTGTGTGTGCTTGTGTTATAGTTCTCCACCCGTCTTTACTGTGTTACTCAACTATGAGAGTTTTAGGCAATCAGCTTAAAGTTAAAGTTAAGTTTAAATGTATCAAAGATACTACAATAAATGGTTCACTTGACCGATAACCACTCCGTAAATATTGTCCCACGTTTTTACATTTGGCGAGTTGTTGTAACCCCTGAAACCATTCTTTGAAGCTTTTATCCCACAAGTTAAGAGTGAAATTCTTCATCATTTTCACTGTTTACTTGTTGATAGTTATCAATAAGGTATTTTTATAACCTCTGGTAAACCCGTTGTCTGCCAAAACTTTGGACCGACGTAATTTAGGCCATTTACTTGTGTGAGGAATTAAAATCTTCAGTGATTGTCACCTGATTGCTAATTTGTTTAAATAATCCAATTTTACAGGGTGGGACTACCTTGTTAAACTGCCAAAGAAGGGAGCCCTAAGTCTTTGCAGGAACTGGCTCGGAATCGTACTCCTGTCTACCGCAAGCAAAATATTGAACCTCATCATCAACAACCCAAAGAGACTTTAGAATGCTCGGGATTTGAAATTACGACCGGAACAGGCTGGCTGGCTCGCTTCAGGAAGAACAAGTCATGTGCAGATCAAATTGCAAAGCTACTCTACGCATCATAATACAACAGAGCATAGAATGGCAGTTACCTCTTCACGTCAACTTCATTGACTTTGCAAAGGCCTTCGACAGCGTTGACAGAGAAGTAATTTGGCAGGGAGCTGCTTCAACACTACGCTTTTAGTACCGCAAATCTTCATCAGATGAGGATACTACATGCTAAGCAATTCACAACACAATGAAAAGCTCAGTGATGCCTTTGAAGTGAAGACAGGAGTAAGACAAGACAAAGTTGCCTACTATCACCGATGATCTTCCTAATTGTGGTCGACTGGATCATACGACAAAATGTGGGGAGCGTGAAGAGGGGCATATGCTGGACCGATAAAGAGACCTTAAGAGACTTGGATTTTGCCGGTGATGATTAATGTCTAATTCCACACAAACTCGAAGATCTGCAGGGGAAAACTAACCAGTTGGTAGAAGAGGCGAGGCAGAGAAGACAGGACTTCTTTCAGGTGAACGTAGAGAAGACAGAGGTGATGAAGATACCAACCAACAACAAGCAACAATCACCATCAACAGGAGAAATCTAAAGGAAGTAATCTCTTCCACCTACCTAGACAGCATCGTTTCAACTACAGGTGGCACAGATAAGGACGTCAGCATAAAGGGTGAACAAGATCCGGACTTTCAAGTCAGTGCTTCTGTGTGATGGTGAGAGAAAAGCGTTTGCAACAAACTACAGACACACATGAATAGCTGTCTACGCTCGATACTGAAGATCAGATGGCTGGAATAACAAGAATAAGCAACAAGGAACTCTGGCAACGAACCAACCAAGAACCTATCATTCAACAAATATGCAGGAGAAAGTGGAGATGGATTGAGTATACACTGAGAATGCCGAGTGGGGACATCACGCGTCAAGCCCTCGGGTGGGACCCCGATGGGAAGCGACGAGTTGGACGTCCGAGGGTGACATGGAGGAGATCGTGCGAGGAGGAAATGAGAGCTTCTGGGCTGTCGTGGAACCAGGTTCAAAAGATTTCGGAGAACAGAGGTCACTGGAGACGTGCTACTAGAGCCCTATGTTTCACTAGGAACTTAAGGGGCAAATAATAAATTTTACTGTGTGATAGTCGTGAGTTTTATAGAATTCCTGAAATGAATGTGGCATAGGTTGAAAATCTCGAGTACAATTAATTCTTCTCAGACTTTAGACTTAGACTCAGACAGGGAATGAAAGTATACTCAAAGGTGAATAGCCTGTAGACTAAATTTCACTCAGACGTTTCCTTTCATCAACTGAAGAAGCAGATGAATAGGTATTGTAGTGGTATAATATGGAGCTACTTTATTTGTTCATTCACTGTCTTCAGATGCTGACAATCTATAACATTTACAGCATGAAATTACTGTTGGATTTTAGAACACCTTAGATGATTTTAAGTAATTTGGCCAGTGAGTACAACGGAACAGAATAGTGACATGTTGAAGTTAGGAATATATATACAATTTGAAATGAGGTTGGAGTATCATGAGTACACGTCATACCAGCACTAAAGTTCTCGTTAACGTCTTACGCAACCAGCAGCATGTCCGCTGGGGAACATGAAAAAGTGAGATACTGTTAGTCAATGAATAGACAAGTTCTGATTAGCGGATGAATCGTAATAAAGTTTAGTGAGGACGAATCAACAGATTAAGGCAGACATTTAGCATTGATTGCCCGCCTAAATGAGAAGACAATGAAGATGAAGTGATCAGAACAGTGAAGATCCTAAGCGAACTAGTTTATCACAACAGTTGAAAGCTGACAGCAGATCGCCTTAGTACACATAAGTCCGCTCTAAGTTAGTTGGCATGAGAAGCTCTAGATATGCATTTTCAATGACTCTTGAGGGTTCGATCATTGAGTGAACTAGCTGAGATGTGAAATACCTGTCTGTCTGCTACTATGGGTGACATATATCCAGATGTTAACAGGCAGTTGACAACCACTGAAAGTCTCAGGCATGCATAAATGGCGAGTGTTTGTGTGTTTCTGACCTCCTAGCTCTACCACTTTATCCGTTTTTCAAACAACAAGCAATCATTGGATTGGAAATAGTTATGTTATTCTATGCAAATGGGGAAACATCATATGTGACTGAGTAGACATTTGTTCTAGCAGGTAGATAAGTTGTCTCGATTACTATTTGTTGAGTGAATTACCTGACTAAGTAGAGAAGACATCACTCTATACTCATTCACTCACTCAGTATTATTACGTATGTGTATGGTGTGTGTATGGGGTGAATAATAATCTAAATAGTGGCTTTCCAGGGGTTGATGTATGCTGTTGCGTGCAGTTTAATTACAAGTGTCGGTAACTAGGTGAAGAAGATTTTCTATGAATGAACTTCAGGAGACCAGTAGGTTGATAATACTGGAGGTATATTCATCAACGGTCTGACGAATAATGATTATACCGGTTTAGTTGGTGATTTGTAGGAATGTGTTTTTTGGAAGTGTTTTTCACGATGAACTGACATCAGGTGGAGGATTGCTGGTTACGTAGGAGCAGTAGGCAGGTATTTCTTTGTAGTTTGAGATTCCTCAGCAGTGCGTATTCGGGCACGTTTGAGGAGTTGACATAACTACTGTTTCGTTCTCCAGTTGACGCCTTCCTTTCTGTCAGCTGCGTTAACTTCTATGGTTGAGTTTCTGTGAATTCTGTCAACTCCTGATGTAGTGCAATCGCAGTCCAATATCATGTGTGTGCATCCTGTTCACTTTTGTGTTTGTAGACACCTCAGTTCATGACTTGTTCGTGGATCTGGACTGCATTTTGTCTGAGTTCCTGAGTAAACACTACTGAAAATTCCTAACCTGATGCTCATCTCGCTTTATTTATGTGTACATTGAAGGCTCAAAATTGAAAGGAGCCAAAGTAGTCTAAATTAAAGAAAACACGATTGATTCCACTTAGAAACAAACTGTGTCTACTGACTGAAGTCTATTGATTAGACGGAATTATTTGAAGGAAAGTTGTAAAATCCAGCTCCAATCATGGCGAACTAGTTACAACGACTGGTGGATATGCATGACAGAATTGTCAATCTGAAGAAAAGGAGTCGACGCTTAAAGTCGTTCGGTATCAAGCAAATAACACAAAGAAGTATCGCATATTCAACAAAGACCCAGTCAAAGTAACTAGGTTGCTTAGTGCTGTTGGCTGCCTGAATCAGCTTCAGTAAACAAGCGCGCTGAATACTTTCGAGAATACAGAAAATCAAATGAATCTACATTATCTGATGACTAGTTACACCTTTGTTTGTATAGTTCTCTATTTTCTCTCCTTATAACAACAGAATATCTGTGCACATACCATACTACCGAACTTCTAAGATAACATTTGCCACCAGTAATAATTACATTTGCAAAGATGATGTATCATTTTGATGGCATGCAGTGTTCATCTCTTTTGCACTGGGTGACATTCTCATATTTTTCACTACATTTTTCTCAATCAACTTCATTTTATTCACTGAATCGGTTAGTTTGCACTGCCACAATTGAAAATAATGATGATCAGCATACTTCTGATTGTCACATGGTGTTGAGTTTCTATATATCCTTGTGACAATATCTCATGTTTGCTTCGGAAGTCACATGATGAGTCAGTCAGCTAAGTGAACATATGATAAGGAAGCAACTTCCCTCTAACCATGAGTTTCCATTCACGAGGGGACAACATGTGAACAGTCAAGAATCGTATGCATAGAAGTTCTGAATTAAACCAGTAGGTGAACGAACGTCACATTCAGTGGTAGGAAGTGTATATAAGTAGTTGTTGAGGGAAGAAGTAGAGTTTAGGGTCATAGCTCCATTATCACTGCAGCATGGCCTGTGATGTGCTCCAGTTTCATGGATATGCATCTATTTAGGTGACGTTTTGTATCGATCTCAGGAACCGAGAAGATCTGGTGAGTGAAGACCTGATGGAAAACTCAGTCGCTTTTCAGTATGGCCTCCTGCTTCTGAAGCAAGATTCTGGTTATGTGGAAACCCCCCCCCCACCCTGACTGTAAAGTCATGTTGTTTGTTAATTACTAATATTTCATCATCTTTAAATAATGTCCCATGTCTAGGGAGTCAGTCAATCTGTAGTGTTTAAAATTCATTGAAGGTGTTAAACTGATTACTGAAACAATTGTTTTAAAGTGCTTGCAAGAAATCTTCAAATTGAAGGTACCTTCGTCAATCTAGAAGACGCAAACTACATTATGCGTAGTTTGGATCACTCGTAGGCACACAGTGATGCTAAAGATTGATATTTCGTTTTTTGAAAAGACTCAACTCAGTTTTTATCCTAATCAAGGTGTATTGTTTTATTAATCAATTGTCGTAAAATTGCACATTTTTGTACATATATATGTGTGTGAACATTGCTAATAATTTTGAATGGACTGTTAAAAACCGATCATTTTTTTCAATTTAGCATTCATCATGGACTGACATCAGTTGGAGAAGCATTTGAAATCTAGGAGCACTGCACAGTTGTTTCGTCCTTGTATGTAACTCTTCAACAGTGCCCACCCATAACCCCACCTTCCGGGGATAGAACCCAGAACCTTCAGGTTCCATGGCCAGCACGTAGCCATTGAGCCACTGGGTCGGAATCCAGTAGTTCAGTGGCTGGGTCATAGGTGCGCGGTGCTGAAGAGTCCTATACTACGACGAAGTAGCTGTCCAGTGCTCTCAGGTTTCCAGCGTTCCTCCAACTGATGACAGTCCCTGATGAATAGCAACCTGAAAAATCTCTAAATCCCTACAATCCCCGAAATTGAAAAGTCGATCATGTGAAATCTGTCTTCTCTGGGTATTTTCATTGAATATGTCTGTCTACATAGAAAGCTGACATACTTTTTTCTTCAACTGATGTTAAGATAGCTCTCAGATGTGACTGAATACCTGTTGGAGAACATGCCTGGCTCTTGAATTCAGAACTTCTCAACAGTTATCTCTTCCCAGTCAACTTCTATGGGTAAAGCTAAAAATTTCAGCTCTTTTGCTTAACATTATTCTGCATGCTTCAGTCTATGGCAGCTTTGTCATGTTAGACTGATAAGAATATTTTCTTTTTTGTATTGCTATGTTATTCATCTTTTATTCTATGCATCCACTTTCATTGTTCCTAGCTGAATTGGGTGACTATACACCGGAGGATTGTCCACCAGGTTATGTGAACCAGTTTCGCTTTGTACAAAATCAGAATGCTGACTTTGAGGTGCAAGCGTCTGAATGGCACCGTAAATCAAGGTAAGACAGGAAGTATACATACTAGATTCTATAGAATATAAATGTGTATATGTGTAACTATTGTTTTCCTATTTTTATTTGGGAGTTGATTTCATCGTCATAGAAAATCGATATGATTTTCAAAACAAACACTACTCATATAGATAAATCAATGTTGTTTAACCTGATAGTGTTTATGTCTTAGATTAGGCGTTTACTGATATTACGTGAACAGGTGAAACCGTTTGTTCAATGAATTTATATCAGATGGAGGTCAGTCACCTATGAACCATACTGTGATAGTCTTTTGAAGTTTTTGATAAATATGTTTTTCCACTGGTTAGGAGAATGAAATCTATTTCTTGAAGTATTGTAAGAGTGTGAAAACAATTTGCTTATGAATTGACAACAATTAGACAAATTATTACTATTTATTGACATATTTGTTATTCTCCGTTTTTTGTTGGATTGAATTGTCCGCATAGGAGCCCATTCGATCCAACAAAACAACGCAGAATTACAGGTATACCAATAAGTAGTAATAACTGCTACCCGTTGTACAAAAAGTGGCCATTGTTCCTCTGTGGCTTAGTGGAAAACGCCTTGGCGTTTGAAGCGATGGGTACGAGGTTCGAGTCTTAGTGGGAACAGCATCGCTGCGGTGCAGGTACACCCAGCTGACGAGTCCCAAATAGGACGAAACGCGCGTCAAAGATTCTTCTGCTAGCCACAACCAACCAAATCATCATAGTTAGACGGGTTATTATTTATTCACACTTGTAATTTCCTATTGTTTTACTAGTTTGAACTGATCGACTTCTGTTGGCGTATGGGTTGCTATATGGATCCCTCGATATTGCCTGGTTATTCATCATGTTGAAGTTTACTTAGTGTTCGCTATCAGTGGAATCAAAGACACACGTTTCATGCTATTTTAGACTCATCAGCTGGATGTAACTGTACTCCAACGACTGTTGTCTCAATGAGAACGATATCACTCACTGGGTTGCAGCTGACGAGTCCTAAATAAAACGAAACGCACGTCCTCGAAAATTTTTTAATTGTAATTGTAGAATCCTGGAACTACAATGTATGCTTTTTAAGTTCCTTATTATACTCCTGATATTTATCATTTGTCTTTTATCATCTACACTGATACTGTTGCTGTCTGAGAAGTTTATTTGGCGTTTAATTTCATATAAATATCCATTTCGACTAGTTTATAATCAAGAATGTATTGTTTGAATCATTATTGAACATTGAAACAACGCATTGGAGCGTAACTTTTGTTTTATTCTTAGCAAATCACGATAGCTTTCAAAAGTTATCTATTCATTGCTTTTCAGTATTACAATTTTCTCATGTATCATGTTGAGGGTTAATTATGCTCACAGAGCCTCCTTTTTTCAAAATAATTCAATATAATCACCTAATTTTAACAAACTGAAATAAAGTAAAGTATTTATTGATTTTTTTGCAGAATATCTAAGGATGACGCGGCTCACATTAGCCTTCATTTCCTTTGCTATTCATCTGTGGTGTGAGGATTAGGAAATTCGTGAATTAGTATGAAGTATTCCCAACCAACTCATATTATTCAGTAGTGCACGTTTTCTTGTCATAGATCACACGTAATCCAGAGTCTTGGTTAGGTAGTTTCGAAGGGGAAACTATTCAGCTGGAAAAACTGACAAGAGGGTTCATCGATCTCTGGGATAACTATAATATTAGTCAGTCATAGTATTCATCATGGACTGATATCAGTTGAAGAACCATTGAAAACAAAGGAGCAATAGGCAACTATTTCGTCCTATCATTGGACTCCTCAGCAGTGTGCACAAATGACTCCCCACTCCAGGGCCCGAACTCGGAACCTTCAGGGTGTTTGGCCAGAAGGTTGCCATTGAGCCACTGGGTCGGAATCGAATGGTCCACATTTCCTACTTCTGTCAGTTGACGATATAGCATGGCTTACATGCTATGTCGTCACTGATTAGTTGTCCTTATGATCGACTTGGTTGACTCCACTGGTGACGACTTCTCAATGACGGCATTGGATGTAACTCACGCAATATCGTAAACTGACAGAAGTAGGAAATATGGACCGTTCGACTGCCAGCCATTGGCACAATGTTGGTTTTGGGCTTCCAATGATACTTAGAGCCAGTGGTCTAAGACTTCCTTTTAGTTACCTAGATCCATTCAACATTATCAGCTTGATTATTGCAACAACGTCACTTGGTAATCCTCGACCAGAATTCTTCTTCTTTCCCATTAAGACATCCATCATTACCATTAAATATTTTTATTCATATTTTTTTCTTTTTTTCTATAACACATATGTATCCAGATGTGAGCAATAATAACAGTGTAAACGCCCAAAAGACACACCTGATTCCAGTGATATGAACATATAAAAATGATAAAATTACTTATTTTGGGCGTCTTCCTTATTATTTTAAAAAGAAAATACCCGTTTCCATCATTGTTTAGATAATAATAGAAAAGCATATGAGTTTACTAATCTTTATTCATACCTTTTTGTCTACTATTTTTATTGCTGTGCATAGTCGATAAATATTAATCTTTTTTTCACAGAGTTGTACTATTTGTTGATATGTTTGTGTGTTATGTCAATATTATGTACTGCATTTCAACAAATGAGAATTGAAAGCAGTTTAAAGGTCAGATAGGTAGATTAGTCAAGCTTTGGAAGTCGATTGCGCATGCGCAATATTGATTGGCTAATCAAATACAATATATATATATATATATATATATATATATATATATATATATATATATAATTATTATCAGTCCCTTGGGTTCCTAAGGGAACAGAGAGCTTCAGTAGCACGTCTCCAGTGACCTCTGTTCTCCGAGATCTTTTGAACCTGGTTCCACGACAGCCTAGAAGCTCTCATTTCCTCCTCGCACGATCTCCTCCATGTCACCCTCCGACGCGCAACTTGTCGTTTCCCATATGGATTCCACTAGAGGGGCCTGACGCGTGATATCCCCACTCGGCATTCTCAGTGTATGCTCAATCCATCTCCACTTCCTCCTGTATATTTGTTGTGTGATAGGTTCTTGGTTGGCTTGTTGTCAGAGTTCCTTGTTGCTTATTCTTTCTGGCCATCTGATCTTCAGTAACGAGACAGCGTGGGCAGTTGTTGATGAATGTCTGTAGTTTGTTGGAAATCCCTTTCGTAATGCGCCAAGTCTCTGAACCATACAGAAGCATTGACTTGACTGGATTGGCGTTGAAAATCCGGATCTTGTTCCATATGCTGAGTGCAGTGCAGAAGATCTCCACACTGGTTTCAGGCTAATGAATGCCTGTCTTGCTGTCTTTGCGATCGTGGCTGACTTTGACATCCTCGTCTGTGCTACCTGTAGCTAAAACAGTGCTTCCTAGATAGGTGAAGGAAGTTACTTCCTTTAAGTTGCTCCCATTGATGGTGTCTGGAGTTTGTTGTTGTTGTTGGAGTTGTTGGTGCGGTATCTTCATCACCTCTGTCTTCTCTATATTCACCTTAAGTCCCGTCTTTGCTGCCTCGCCTCTTCTGCCAACTTGTTAGTTTTTACCTGTAGATCTTCAAGTTTGTGTGACATCAGGCACAAGTCATCGGCGAAATCCTAGTCTTCTAGGTTCTTTTCCGCGGTCCAGCCAGCGTATCCCTCTCTTCTCGCTCCTCACTGTTTGTTGCATGATCCAGTAGACCACAATCAGGAATATCATGGGGGATAGTAGGCAACCTGGTTTCCCTCCTGTCTTCACTTCAAAAGTATCACTGAGCTTCCCATTGTGAATTACTTGGCATGTGGCATCTTCATATAGTTGTTGAATGAGGCTGATAAAGGTTTGCGGTACTCCGTAGTAATGAAGCGGTTTCCAAATTACTTCTCGGTCGACGCTGTCAAAGGCCTTCTCAAAGTCGATAAAGTTGAGGTAGAGAGCTGATTGCCATTCTACGCTCTGTTCTATGATGATGCATAGTGTAGCGTTGCAATTTGGTCCGCACATGATTTGTACTTCCTGAAGCCTGCCTGTTCCGGTCGTAGTTTTGAATCAAGCGCATCCTTTAGCCCCTCCAGGATGATGCGGCTTACTATTTTGCTTGCTCTGGGTGGACAGGAGAGTGATTATTCGCCAGTTCTTGCAAACACTGAGGTCTCCCTTCTTCGGGAGTTTGACGAAGTAACCCTTCTTCCAATCGCCAGGTAGCTTCTCTTCCTTCCACACCTTCTGCAATAGTGATGTGAGCATGTCCGCTGTTGTCTCTGCGTCTGTTCTCAGTGCTTCTGGCGGGACCCCATCTGGGCCTGCTGCTTTCCCGCATTTCAGTAGCTTTATGGCGTTCAGGACAACCGTTTTTTTTGTTGGAGGATTTATGTTCACTTGTAGTTCGGCGGCTGCAGGTGGTATTTCTGGATGAAGTGCAGGTGGTGGTCGATTCAAGAGCTTCTTGAAGTGGTCGGCCCATTGTTTCCTTTGTTTCTCTTCTTTCGTAATTAAATTTCCGTCATCATCTTTCATTGGTTTCGTCTGTGTTGATCTCTTCCCAGATAGCAACCTGGTTATTTGATACATTGTCGTCAGGTCTCTCTTACCTGCAGCCTATTCTGCTTCACTTGCCAGTGTTTCATAGAAGTGTCTTTTGTCTTTGCGTGCACTCCTCTTCACTTCTTTGTCCAGTGTTATATATATATATATATATATATATATATATATATATATATATATATATATATATAAGTACAGCGAAGTTATTGATGCAGCAGTTTAGCATAGACTGCCGCAGTCCATGTTATTTGAAGTTTAATACCATTTAACTTGCTATTATATTCCTTAAGGTACAGCCGTTCTATTCAAAATGAAAATGGAATCAAAGTCCACTTAGCAACCTTGTGTATGTATGTAGTTGGCAACAAGTTACAGCTATTGTATGAAGACTGTATGATACTACCACACTGTTCAAACCTAGGTAGGTAAAGCTGAGTTCGAACCAGTGACCTTT